CATGCTGGGTAGAGCAATCTTGGTTGTAGGTCTTTATTTTGCGTCACTTTGAATATTTCCTGCCACTCCCTTCTGGTCTGCAGAGTTTCTGTAGAAAAGTCAGCTGTTAGTCTTATAGGAGTTCCTTTGTATGTAACCTGCTGTCTTTTTCTTGCTGCTTTTAGGATTCTGTCTTTGTCTTTAACCTTTGCCATTTTAACTGTGATGTGTCTTGGTATGGACCTGTTTGGGTTCAGCTTGTTTGGAACTCTCTGCACTTTCTGGGCTTGTATGTTGATTTCCTTCACCAGGGTAAGGAAGCTTTCAGTCATTATTTCTTCAAATACATTCTCGATCTCTTGCTTCTTCTCTTCTCCTTCTGGTATTCCTATGATGTGAGTGTTGTTGTGCTTGATATTGTCCCACAGGTCTCTTAAACTATTTTCATTGTTTTTTTATTCTTTTTGTTGTTGTTCCAACTGTGTTATTTCTGCTATTTTGTCTTGTAAATCACTGATTCGATTCTCTGCTTCATCTAATCTAGTGGTGATTCCTTCAAGTGTGTTCTTCATTTCAGTTATTGTATTCTTTAGTTCTAACTGGTTGTTTTTTATGATTTCTCCATCCTTCTTTATGTCCTCACTAAGTTCCTTAAACATTCTTATCATTAGTGTTCTGTTTCTGAATGGTTGGATACCTCTGTTTCATTTAGGTCCGTCTCTAGAGGTTTCTTCTGATCTTTTATGTGGGACATGTTTCTTTGTTTTTTCATTCTGGCTGTCGCTCTGTGATTGCTTTGATGTATTAGATAGATCACCTAGAAAAAAAAAGGAGGTGGGGCTCTCCATCAGCTTTAATCTGTAACACTTGCTCAGCAATAGAGAGACTCTGGGCGACTCAGTGCCAGCTGTTGTGGGAAAGGGCTCAGTATGTCATGCGCTGGCCTCCCTCTCAGGCTTGCAGTGAGCTTCCCGCAGTTAGCTGCTGTGTGCTCTGGAACTGTGCTCACCACCAAAAATCCTCACAGTTTGTTGCGGGCTGTCTGCTGCTGCAAAAATCTCTCTGTGGCCTGTGGAGGTGGGAGCTAGGCACCAGAGGCTCAGGGTGTCCCCAGCAACACAGCTCTAGGTGGGCAGGGTGGGCCCCCAAGGCACCACAGGATGTGGTGTGTGGCTCCCACCAAGTCAGAGCAGCATGCACTCCTGCATTGACAACTAGCCCGCACAAACTCGCCAGTAAGGCCCCCGCCGGATCATGCAGGTGCACAGCTCATGGCTCAACACTCCCAGGAAAACTCCTAGTCTCAGCCTGTCCCAGTCAGCCACTCGCAGATCAGGTTGAGCAGCCTTAGAGCCAATCGCCACCCTGGCAACTCTGCACGCGCAGTACGGAGAGTGGGGACCCAAGGCCACATGCGCGCACATGCACACTCGCAGTCCTGCATCAATTCCACCAGACCAATGCGGTCCTGGACCTGAACCTCTGTGGAAGGGCCCAGCTCTGAAAAAATGGCAACCTCCTGTACACTACTTGTGTGTAAGCTCCACACCAGGGGAACAATGGTCCCAAAACCTCTAGCTCCCGCACCAAAGGCGCTCAGTTTAGTCCTTTCCTGCAGGCTCCTGGGCCCCGCTCACACAGCTACTCCCTCCACCAAGGACCAGGTGAGTGCTCACCCGTGAGCGAGTCCATGTGCCAGCTCCACTGGTTCTCCAGCTGCCCTCAGCCTCACTGGGTTGAGCAAAGAGAGTCCTCACTAATTTCTACTTCCAGCTATCGTAGAACTCCTCTTCCTGGGAAAGTAACTCTGGGCTGGTGAGCGCGGTGTGGGGCCGGAGGGTCTCTCCCCAAACCAGAGAAGCCTCCCCTCCACTGAGGTGTCCCTTACGGGGTTCGCCCTCTCTTGTCTCCACCCTTCCTACCAGATTTGACGTGACATCCTCTTTAAGTCCTTCGTTTAGAGGTTCTGTTCATCTAGTGTTCAGGGGACTTCCAAGGTTGAATATTTTAGAAATTATTTGTAATTTTGGTGTGATCCTGGGAGGCAGTTGGCACAGCGTCTGTCTATTCTGCCATCTTACCGGAAGTCCCACAGGAAGCACTTTTGTACGTTTTGGCCTGACCTTGTTTGTAGACAGGGGCCACCCTAACACAGCACCCCCACCTTCCTCCCCATTAGAGCAGACAGGCTGCCAGTCTCTTGCCATTGAGCTTTTTCAGCTGTGAGTTGGACACACCAGTCCACTCTGTCCTGTAAAAGGGATGCTTTCCAGCTTTTCCAAGTGGCCCTGGAAAGGCATGCGTCTCACCTTGAAATGTGGCGGTGGTTGGCATTTACTGTATCAGGACCCTAGGTAACCTGCTATAAAAACATATAGAGGGGCGGTCGGTTAGCTCAGTTGGTTAGAGCATAGTGCTCATAACACCAAGGTTGCTGGTTTGATCCCCACATGGGCCACTGAGCTGCGTCCTCTACAACTAGATTGAAACAACTATTTGACTTGGAGCTGATGGGTCCTGGAAAAACACACTGTCCCCCAATAAAATAAAAAAATGTATATAGAGAGAACTCCTGTTATGTGTGAGCTATAACACTAATTAAAAATGGCTGGAGTGTGGACTACATTGAAAATGTGCCCGTGAAATAAGTTGAGAGAAAGCAATGACAAGATATTCTGTCTGTATGGAACACTGCTGGAGAAAGCTTGTATTTGTGCCTGGACTAAGACTGGAAGTCAAGTGAAAGAGGCAGAAGCTGAGTATAAGGTTCACTACTTTCTTTTGCTGAAGTTGCTTCACTGCATAAAAAAAGAGATGACGCTGGTTTAAAGGTTTGTTTTAGTTATAAAATAACAATGTGTTGATGCTGCAAGTTCAATAGCATTAGGGTGAAAATACAAACTGGGTGTTAAGTAACAGCAACAAATGTGATGCCTGCTTATTACCTTGAGTACAACTTCACAGGGGTTGATAACCATGGTTTGTGGGAACTTCCATCTTAATGAATTTTACACCAACGCCTACCACAGCACAATAATCATAATGGAACTGCTAGGTTTACAGGCAAAGCTCTCAGCTGCATGGGCTACATTTTGGCTCTGTATTTTCATCATTTTCTGCCTAAAGTGAGTGCCCTAGGAGCAGAAAGTCACGAACCAGGGAGACCACAGGAACCAGCAGCAGAGTACCTGTGAGACCAGAGGTGTGAGGCGTTGGACTCTGGGAGGGCAGGCTGTGGGCGAGACTTGGCATGGTGTGGGGGCAGGATATGACATAGCCCAGGGAGAGACCTAATGCACAGATGTGCCCTCCTAAGCTGGCACAGAGAGCTGATGCCCAGAACCTGTCTGCCACTCCGTGCCTGGGGAGGCTGCTCACAGTATTCTCCCACAGGCCCTGAAGCCAGTGAGTCCCCATCCCTGGGAGCTTTCTGTCCTGGGCTGTGGGAACGCCATGTGGCGCAGACACCCTGGGGCTGCCCCACACCTACACATGGAACCCCATTCTCGGACTGTGCTGTTTATTGTGGACCAACAGAAATAAGTGCTTGGGGGTTCCCTCCTCCCCTTATGTCCCCCAGGGCAGTTTGTTTTCTCTGCTAGGGAGAAGGCAGAGAAACCAAAGACAAAAACCTGCAGCTTTAGCATCAACACATCATCAGTTTTCTAAGCTGGTGAAACCTGAGTTTCCCCTGCACTTCTATTCTGCACACACAGCCATACTATCGCTAAACAGACTACTTCTGATTGCCACGTAAATTGCGACTGTGCTGACCAGGAGCCAGGATTCCAAGCCTAGGCAGCCCCATGGGTGAAGAAAGAGTGAGTTGGGAGGGTCTCTCAGCCTGGTGAGTGGCCGCACCGCTGACCCAGGCCAGGGCTCTCTTGTCCGCTCTGCTCTCCTATACATCTGCACTCATGTCCCCCTGGCATGGGCTGGCTGGCCTAGCAGCCCAATGAGATTCTGGTCGAAGCATTCAGACCTATGGCTGTCACACATGGTGGTGAGAGAGTGGGCTCCTGAGGCCGACCGAGGTCCCTGCCCCGAGTCAGGACTCGGTGGTGTGGCAAAGGGCATGCCAGCGCTTCACCAGCTCCTTGGGCTTGCCGAGCATCTCGTTCCAGTGCTCTAGTTCTTTGCCGCGGGCGTACATGTAGGGGCCCACCACCACCCGGCCCAGCTGGTGGCTCTCTGCAGGGGACAGAAAGCACTGTTATTCTCTGCAAAGATTCACAGAAGCCACGTCACCTCAGGAATGCCTCCTAAATCTCTCTCTCTCTCTCTCTCTCTCTCTCTCTCTCTCTCTCTCTCTCTCTCTCTCTCTCTCTTATTCACTCCTGCCCTCCAAGGAAGTAGCCAGCCCCCTCCCTCTTTAAACACAGAGCTAACAGCCCCCAAACAGGTCCTGGCTTTGTTCTGGAGCTGGAGATGGCAGGGAAGGAAGCCCAGGTGGACATCCTGTCTTTTGGGGGTACCCACTCTGCCCCCACCCTCCTGGTGGGCCATCTTAAGCCTGCCTCATGTCAGAAAGCTGAGGGAGGAAGGGGCCTCTCTAGAAAAAGGCCTTCTTCCATCAGCCCACTTATACATTCAAGGGGAACATTCAACACAATTTTTACCCACCACCTGTCACAATGGAGAACAGTCTTAAGCTCTGGCCCATGAGACAGCCGGCTCTGCTTCTCCAGACAGTGACAGTGGACACTGGGTTATGGGGCAGTGTGGGAGAGCTGGCTGGGATAACTCCACCCTGTCATTCACCCTGCACCTTACCCAGGACCTAAAGGCTTATCTGGAGTGGGTGGCAGAGGCTATCCTCTTTCTAGGGTGCCACAGAAAGTCAAACTGGAATAAAGCTGATGTGAATTCCAGCTCTCTCACTAACAAGCTCTGTGTCCTTGGGCAAGTGTCTCAGCCTCTCTGAGTGCTAGTTTCTTGAGGCAGAGAACAGAAACTATCCAGCTCCCTTTGTGTCCATACTGCCTGAGTGCTCAGCAGCCCCTCCTTTGCCTGTTGCCCTCCCAGCCTGCTGGTGGGGGAGCAGCCTTACTGTCCCCTTCGATGCTCTGCAGCACTGTCAGGCAGAGGCTGGCAGTGTCCAGCTCGGTGGGCTCGGCCTTGAAGCTGAAGGTCTCGCTGTACACAGGGTTGGCAGAGCCCAGCACAGCCGAAGTCCTCTTGCACTTGACAAACTTGTTGTGGTTCATCAGGGACACTTTGACAAACACACCTGAGGGGCAAGCGTAGAATGTGGGCCGGGCGAGGCAGGCAGTGGGAGGTGTGGCTGGGGGTCACATGCCCACCTGGGCGTCAGGACCCCATTACTCACAGCGCTGCAGCCAGAGGGCATTGTATGAGTAAACCGGGTTGATTAGCGGACCACCTTAGGGCCGAGCAAACACTCAAGGGGCCTTCCTCTTCCTCTCCGCTTCCTGAACTACCCACAGCTCGGCTAGCCCTTGTTTACCAGAGCCTGGCACCACACACCTATTATCCCTTCCCATGGGGACAGGGTTGGGGTGGCGTCCTGCCTGCTGGGTGCTCTGGCCCCCTGACCCTTTTATACACTTTCTCCTTCAGAAGGCCAAGTTTTGGGGGGTGGAGTTTAGATGGGTTTTGGATCTGCAGTGGAAGGTTGAATGCCAGCTTGCTTATGGTGGCTCAGATGCAGAGACACACAGGTGGCCGACAACCACCACCTTGCTGGGGGCCCACATAGGGGCGGGACACATGGGGTGAGCTAGTGCCGGGCCTCTGCTCCTCCAGCGGCTGGGTCCTAGGAGGCTGGAGGAAGCAGAGCACGACGTGGCCTGCCGCCTGGGGGTGCCTCTTCTTCCAGCAGAGTGTCATGGCCGTGTGCAGGGGAGCCCTCCCTGGGGGCCGGGAGGCTCAGGCCTCTCCTGGAGGAACTGGACCCCTCCACAGAAGGGCAGGGCTGGAGGTGGGCAGCACAGTTCAAGGAGCCCAGATGCTGCCTTGGGAGGGGCTGACTTGGTCTCAGGGGCCTTGGAAGTCTTGCTGGAGGTCAGGGGAATGCAGCCTTGGATTCCACATAAGGAAGTGGTTTCCCATACCACTGTGTCTATAGAGGAAGGGCATGGCTCAGATTACAGCGCTGTCATGGGCAGTGTGCAGGCAGAAACTGGACGGCCAAGTGTGGGGCCAGACTCCAGCTCTAGGCCCCAAGCTCACAGGGCTGGCCCTGGCCCAGGAAGAAAGCTTACTGACAAAACTCCTGTCCTCCTGCAGCCGGAGGCCCTTGGCTCGCAGCACGACTACTGTCAGCCGGCTCAGGCAGTCATTGTAGCTGAGGCAGAACTGGAGGTCGCCAAACTCCGAGGGAGGCTGGAGAGGCCGAGAGGAAGGCGCCATGTCACACTAACAGTGTCTTCCTCCTTCCTCCCGGCAGTCAGGCACGGGTCACTGCATGACACACCCACATTCCCTCCTTTACACCCACCTGCCGTTTTATAGATGGGAAAACTAAGATCTGGAGAGTTGAAGGGAACTGCTGAAGATCACACAGTGGTGAGGACCAGAGTTGGGGATTCAAACCCAGATCTGGGGAATTCCAAAGCCTATTCTGAGCCACAGGTTTTTCCATGGGGGTTGGGGGAAGGCAGGTAAATATTCCCTTGAGGTTCATCTGGGGTGTTGCCTTTCACAGCTGTCTGATCTGGACGGGGATCCAAACACGGATTTTTCAAGTTGCTCCAGGCAATCTGACCTCCAGGGCAAAAGAACCTCAGGTGGCCCCTCCTTGCCTACACGTGATTCCATGTCCCCTCCCTTCACCCCACGCAGCTCCACCCAGGCCCACCATCCTGAGTCACACATAGGGGTGGTGGGCAGTATGCTGAGGGCTGATGCTGGCCAGCATGTGCTGGGCTACACCTGCTGACTGCTCACGGTAGTCTGACTCTCAGTGGCATTTGTCTGGTGACCTTGACCTTTACCTCCAGGCTCTCAGGCTCCAGGTCTCTCCAGATAATGCGCCGGCAGTCACCTGCCATGGCCTCGTTCTTCAAGGGGAAGAACACCTGGCCCAGGAGCTGATGCTTCCTTTGCCTGTCCACGTGGTACACCGAGAACCTCAGCACCATCTGACTGATGCTTTTGCTGGACACCTGTGGGAGATGAGGGTTGGACTGGGGTCAGGTGTGGGGACAAGAGATAGGATAGTGTGGGACATTGTTCTGGACATAGGAGCTTTTGGTGAGGGGTGTCTCAGCCAGGGACCTGCACACCCCGAATCCAGGCATCATTGAGGACCCTTCGCAGCAGCGGGGCCAGTACCCCCGGGAGGTGGGACTGTGTCCCAAAGCCTTGACATGCAGACTGCGGTCTGAGGATCAGCAGAATCCTTGTTAGAAATTCAAGACCTTGGGCCCCACTCCAGACCCATGAAGTTGAATCTACTGCTTCTCAGGACTGTCCACTGATATGCCTGCACATGGAGGTGTGAGAGATCCCGTGCTGGAGCCCAGGGAATTGGCTCGTCTCTGCTATCTGAGTTGTGCACCCCAACTCCCCTCTCCTCGAGGCTCAGTCTCCTCAGCTGTGAAATGGGGCAATTGTTCTTACTTTCTGGGTTGTAAAATCACAATCACAGTGTGTGACCTATGGCAGATGGTCAATTAATATTTATTTCTTCTTTTCCTCTTCTCCTTTCCCTTCCCTCTTAAAGCACAGAGAGGCCAGGATCAAGTTAAGGCAGGGATAGGACAGTGAAGTAAAGAAAATGAGAGAAGAAAAATAAATATGTGAGCATGACATGTGGCATGCTGGTCAGCCAGCCTGCACAATGTGGGTCTTGATGTCTCAACAAGAGCAGGTTCACCTGTGAATTCTCACAGCCTTGGCCCCAGCAGGATGGCCGGGATCTGGGCCCCATGCCACCTCTCTTCTCAGCTCTCAGCCCCGGAAGAAGGCAAGAATCAGGGCTCTGGCCTCTGCAATCATACGCTTCCTGGATGCCGACTGTCTCACCTTCCTTTGTCAGATCACCCGCTGCCCAGCTCTTAAAAATGTTTGCCCAGGGCCTCTCGGCAGCTCTTGATGGTTGGTTTCTCATAAGGGCCCCCAGTCACCTGCTCAGGTTCCCAGGCCACTGTGAGCTTGGCTCAGTGCCCCGATAGCATCTGTGCCTCCAGACCCTGTGCCAGCTGGCCCACCACCATGCAGCAAAGGTACTACCTGCCCAGGATGGCTATCGGGTCCTGCACCAGCTTCTGACAGGATAGGTGAGTTCCTGACCCCACTCCCAGAGGCCTGGGGGTCTCACCCTGTGGGATAACCTTGTTAAAAACCCCACAGTGCTACAGGGCTTTGGGGTGCTTCCTCTACACCTCATGGGCCGGGACCTGGCATCCAGTAGGTGCTTCAATAATGCGTCTTCTTTTTCTCTGCTACAGGCTGCCTGGATTGGAGGAGCCCACCCTCTGCCCCCTCACCCTTCAAGTCTCTCCCTTGCCCCTGCCATTGGAGTTCAGGGCTCTGATAGACCCTAACCTGGCAGGCGGGGTAAACCAGAGCCTGTGCCATGGGCTTCTGGGGCTGCAGGGTCCTGGCTAGCACAGGAGGCTGGGGCTCTTGGGCAAAATGCCTGCTCCTTCCCAGATGCTGCTTGCTCCAGAGGTCATACCTGGAAGACGAAGTGCTCGTCAAACTGTGGGTTGGTGGTTTTGCGTTTGATCTTCGACTGGAGGAAGCGCCGCTCATCTGGAAGCAGGTGGAGCTTCACCAGGGGGCTGCAGATCTCTGAGGGGGCTTGTAGCCGCTGTGCCTTGATCAGGCCCACCAGAAACCGCTCGGCCTCCTGCTGGTATTCCACGGAGAACCACAGCCGCCCCAAGCAGCCCTCAGGGAAGTTGGTCTCACTGTTGTCCTCTGGGAGCTTGTACAGCTCTGGGTTGATGGTTCCCACCATGCGCACATCTCCTACAGCACAGGAGCTGGGAGGTCTGGAAGGCCCAGGAAGGCAGAGGCCTGGGGACAGCAAGCTCTGGGCTTCACCACCCCCTTCTGGCCCATCCCTTCTTAGCTGAGCTTCGATTAGGCCTCTCCTGACCACATTCACCCCACTCTCGTCTCCAGACTAAACACAACCCCTCTCTAGTGCAGTTCCTCTAAGAGGCCTTCTCAGCACTAAGGCATTGTACACCCAGGCTTGCTCCTCCCTGGGGCCCCTAGCAGAGGCCACAGTGTTCACTCAGCTCCTGTACCCTGGAACCAACCCCCATCCCCAGAGGTCAGGGACTACTTGGGGGGAGGGAGGGTGTCACAGCACCCAGCACCTAGCCTGGCCCCTTTCTGTGGCGTTCAGAGGATGTCTCAGTGATAAAATGTTGCCTCTTTTCTTCCTCTTCAAATTAGAAGGGCAGAGCTGATGACTGGGTGGTTCCCGGGAAGGTCTCTTTGGAGGCCTTCAGAATAAATAGGTGGACAGAAAGCTGTGTGCCCACCTCCTGCCATTCTGCCCTGTGGATCAGCCCTTCATCATCCTGGAACAGGACCCAGCACAGGTTCTACACCTGGAAACACCAGGGCTCCATTCTTCAGATCTGTTGCTTACTTCCTCTGTGACCTTGGGCAAGGCATGGTTAACCTTCTGAGCCTCAGTTTATGAATGTATCAAATGGGGTGATAGTCCCTCTCTCCACAGATGCGTGGTGAAGTCTAACTCCAAAATGGCACATGAGGCCATATCTGGCCTGGGCTGGGGCGCAGCAGGCACTTGGTAAGCCAAAGTACCTGGAAAGAGGGGCACTGGCCGGTTCTGGCATCGCTGGGCCCATCCAGGTTGTGTTCTGCAGCCAGGACTGCGAAAGCAGATGGGTCTGCCCTGGCCTAAACAGACCCTGACCGCTGGGCAGGCCCTCACGGGCACACTCACCAAGGTTGCTGCCAGCGGTGTGGGGCAGGCGCTCCGGGGCTAGGCAGGGGCGCTGTGGCACCTGGGCCCACTCTCTGCGGTGCAGGGGCACCCAGTCTCGGCTTTGGAAGGAAGGGGGCACCACAAATGGCACACCTGGTGGCCTGTCCAGAGGCAGGGAGACAACACAGAGGTGGCAAGTGAATCATGCAGCCTCAGACCACTCAGCCCAGATTGGTTGAGTGCCAGGCGCTGGAGGAAGAAAAACCCGTGGGAGCCAGGAGGAGGCAAGAGTACCATTTTCTGGCCCCACACTAACCCCCTGCACCTCTTTCCCTCCCCCCCCCCAACTCACACAACCAGAGCCAACACCTGCCTGCCCACTGCAGTGGCGAGTTGAAGGAACACAGCCTCTGGAGCCAGCCTGCCTGGGTTTGAGTGCCTGTTCTCCCACTTACTACTTATGTCCATGAGCCTCAGTTTCCTCAGCTGGACAATGGGCTTCATAATGCCTGTCTCATGGCTGTGACAAGGATTCTGGGGTTTCCTTGTCATAGCTCCCAGCATGGCAACAGCACAGAGGTTGTACTCTGTAAACACACCTTTCCTGCCCACCCCACTTCAAGGGAAACGCCACAGGGAGGGCCCTAAGCAGGGCCTGGGGCTCGCTGGGCCCCACATCCTTCTTCACCTGCTTGTCTGGGTCCTGGCAGGCAGTTGGCAGAGCTTGTCCCTCTGTGGGCTGGAGGCAGTGGTGGTCCCGGGCAGCTCCTCATAGGTGAACTTGGCACAAAGCCTCTTCCAGAGGCAGCAGCTGACCCCGATCAACAGCAGCAGCAGCAGCCCCCCAGCGATACCCCCAATCACCAGGGCCACCTGCTCTGGGGGTGGAGACCACCAGGACTGTGATGCCAGGGAAAGCCAACCCTCTTCACACCACTGGCCTGCTGTGGGCAGAATTTTGGCAGCAACCCCACCCACTGATTTGGACCCTAGGAGTGAGACAGAAGCAGGCTTCCTGGGTCTGTTGAGGGGGGCTGCTAGCTAGGCTCTGCTGGGTCTCAGTGGAAAAGCCATTTCCCTTGGGGTCCTAGTGCCCTGGGCGGCACCTTCTGGTTTCCTTTGGAAAGTACTTGGCCCTGGACCTGAGGTTCTGGCTGAAAAGAGCCACTTCCTTGTGCCTATGAGTAGAAATAAAGCCTTCTCTTACCAGAACCTCCATTTTCCCTGGGCTTCTGTTCAGGCTTGAGGGTGAGCTGGGTATGAGCACCATGCACTTAAGGAAAACCCAGGAAGGGGTGATGCCCTGGGTGTCATTCAGAACCCTATCCTTTGGGATTCTGGAACCTGCTGAGGCTGGACTCATGTTTGAATTCGGTAACTTTCTGTAAAACCAGCTCCTTCCCTCAACCCTCTATCATGGTGAGCCCACTTATAGGAGTTGGGAGTCGGTGGGCGCTGGAGAGGTGTGGAGGAGGATGGGGGCAACAGGTGTGAGAAACGAGAGCGACGGACCCTTTGCTGCTGGCACTTAAACTCCACATTTGCAGCGATCTGGGAGGCGTCACCGGACGCCCTCTGAGGGCAGTCGGATGCTGGGCCCCAGGCGCCCACTCGCTGCCCCAGCTGGGCAAAGAAGGGGACTCCTTTGGGTAACGTGCGGGCGCGGGAATTGCGGGCTCCGGGCTCTGGGCTCTGGGCTCAGGACCGGGTCGGGTGGTCAGAAGGCGAGACCCTCACACCTCCTGACCAGCAACTGTTTGCGAGAAGACGGCTTCATTGTTTAGTACACCCCGCTAGGAACCTGGGGTAGGGCAGGGGCTACGCCCCAGCGCGAGCCGGCGGGGAGGAGAAAGTGGCCAAGAGGGCAGGGAGGCGAGGGTACTCACCGACCATGGGGCTGCTTCGGCCGGCCGTCGGGGCGCGGCTTGGGGCTCTGTCTTGCGGGCCTCCTTGCCTACCGCGGCTGCCGCGGGGCAGGGTGTTAAAGCCGGGCGAGGGGCCGTAGGCCGGCGCGGGCGCGAGAGCTGTCCCTCGTCGCGTTCTGGCCCTGAAGCGGTGGACCGTGGGGACAGGGACCCAGCGGCTGGAGGCTTCAGCTCCGCCCCTGACTGGCCCTGGCTTTGGCTGTGGCAGAGGAAGGGCGCGGAGCCAACCGAGAGCTCCCGGAAACTGCAGGGTTCTGAGTGGGGCGGACGCTGGGAGCTCCCTACGGCTGTCGGCGGGGTGCGGTGCGAGGGCCACCCCCTCCGGGAGAACAGAGCCGAAGCCTCCTCCAGCGTCTGATAGAGGGCTACCTGGCCCGTTACACCTGGTGGCTTGGGCACGTGCCCGTCTGGAGTTCCGTCTCACTTGCTGCAGCTCCTCGGCTGCGTGGTTCCGGACCCGCTGCGACCCCTGCTTCAGGGGGCCTTCGGGGACCCAGGGCGTAGTTCGGGAGCCCTATCCCGGGCTCCATGCTGCCCGCCTGCCCGCCAGGGCTAATGGTGCGGCGCCAAAATGTCCTGGTTCGCGGTCTCAGTAGACAGAATAACAAGGCCTGGAGAACGTAGATCCTGCAGCCCTACCACCTGGGTTTCAACTCTGGCTCCCCACACGCCACCGGCTGTGCCATTTGGGACAATGTACTTCAGCACTCTGGGCTCACTTTCCTCAACTGCGCTAATCATAGTACTCCCTCTAGGGTTAATAAATGTAAGAGACACTAAGAACGGTGACTGGCCCAACCAGCCCTATTATGGTGAGTATCTGACCGAGGGTGGCGTCGCCTGGGGCCCCTCCGCACCCACAGCCCTTATTATTATAGTGATTATTACTAGACCACAGGGGTCGCGCCGGTCCAGGCTGGCGGACACAACCTTGACAGAGAGGCTCGGGCAAGGGGCCTCCCGGTCCTGTGCCTGCTCCCGTTCTGCGAGCGCCCTATCGGGGGATGTGCACGCTTGCGGCGCCAGCACAGCTTCCCTGCAGAAGACTCTTGTGGGATCGTCTGAGACCTTCAGATGTCTGTAAGTGGGGACGAAAGAAATATGTGGGTGGTAGGGGGGCAGCCTGGGCCCCGCTCCCTGTGGTACCTGTGCCTCTCATCAGATGGAGGAGGTGGGGTGGACACGATGGAGAGCAGCCCAGACCCTCAGTGTGCCTGAGGTTCCGCCCAGCCTAAACGCTGGATGACCTGCGGAGGGGTGGGTTGTGAACTGGGGTCCCTTCACACAGGCGCGGGGGCTGGGAGCTTTGGGCTTCCCTATGTGCAGAGGAAGCATGGCTATTCTCTTTCTTTCCCAGCTCTGGATGGGTGTGAGGTGGTGAGAAGGCCCAACCTGCACCTCTTTACTTCTCACCTCTCCCTCTGCTCCATTCCCGCACCCTGCTAGGGACCCATAGTGGGCAGGGCATTTCCCCCACACGCCTTTCTCCTCCTGCAAACCTGCCCTCAGTCATATTGGCTGGAGGGTCTAGAGAACCTGGGGCCGTGACCACTGTTTCCTCTGGGCTGGCAATGGTGGTGGTATATCAGGAAATGGGGCCTGGGTCCCCGAAAAACCTCCCAATTTTCCCCCTCAGGTATGAGCAGGATGTCTGTATTAGTTTCTTGTTGCTGCTGTAACAAATCACCACAAATTTGTGGTTAAAAATGCAAATTTATTATCTTACAGTTTTTGAGGGCTGAAGAGTAAAATGGGTCTTCAGGGCTGCACTCCTTCCGGAGGCTGTGGGAAAATCCACTTCGTTGCCTTTACCACCTTCTAGGAGCTGTTTGCAAGTAGACCCTTCCTTCATTATCAAATGCAGCAGCATTTTCTAATCTCTCTGACTCCCTCTTATAAGGATTTTTGTGATTATATGGGGGCAACTCAGATAATCCAGGATAATCTCCCCATCTCAAGATCCTTAACTTAATCACATCTGCAAAGTCCATTTTACCATGTAAGGTAACATATTTACAGGTTCCAGGAATTAGAACATATATGTCTTTGGAGCCATTATTGTGCTGACCACAGTGTCCATACAGCCCTCCAGGAGGGATGGTTTACATTCTCCCTCCTCCTGCTGCCTGGAGTTCTCAGTGCACCCCAAGACTGGGACCAAGCAGGTAGCAGGGTCCACGTGCCCCCTGCATGGTAGCCCTTCAGCTGTCATGACCACCCAGCTCCCAGCTGTCCTGCTGGCGTGGCTGCTCCTGACAGGCCATGACACTATCCACAACCAGCCACCTCTGCAACTGGGCCTGAGCTGCACTCAGCTGTTCTGGGTGTGGTGTGAGGTAGCGGGTGCTCCTGGAAAATGGAAATTTATGGCCAGTCAGTAAGCACTAGACCCAGAGCTGCCTATCCCCCTCTAGCCTCATGCTGTGCCTTTCCAGGGCCCCCATCATCTTCCCTGGCTCCCTTCCCTTACCACCTATGTCTAAGCTGTAGCCAAGTCCTGCCAACTCTTCTTCCTTTGTCCATTTCCATCACCAGCAAAAACTCCACCCAGGTCTCCATCATCCCCCACCTGGAACACTGTATCAACATCCTTTCTGATCTTCAGATTCAATCCTCTACCCCCTCCCCAGCTTATGTCTTCCTGGCTCCCTTCCCCATTCTCACCCACTTGGATGCCTCCCCCCATCCTTGTGCCTGTAACTATCACCCTAGCTCACTCTCTCCAGGAGATCAGGACCTCTATGAAGGGAGAGACCATGTCTTATTCAGCTCAGCATCCCCAATATTAACTTCTGGGGCCAAGGCTGTGCTGAATGGGATAAAGGGTTTGTGCCCTTAGGATGAGATATCTCCTGGCTTCTATCCATGCATCATGTGCTCCCTGGGCTCAGGCTTTGGGGCCTGACAGGAGCTCTTCAGCCTAGCTCTGGAGACCAGCTGTTGGATCTTGCACAAACTCACGTTGCTAGAAGCACCTTACACATCCAGCCAGCCCACTGAGTTTTGAGTCTTTCTTTCTCCATGGGAAGATGAGAGCAGGTGACTGCTCTCTTGCGGTTCTTTATGTTCTGGAGATGACCATGAACTAGGCCAAGAGCCACAGGCACTGTGGTCAGTCTCCCCTCCTTCCACTGTCCCATGGGGGCTCTGAGACCAAGCTGGCCTGGAGCCAACTCCACATAACAGAGTGACTGCCTGGTCTGCTGCAGCCCTGACCCTGCTTCCTGTTTTCAGATCTTGCTCCTTACTGGGTCTCTGGGAGCTGGGAAGTCTGGAAACAGTAGCGGACATGGTTTCTCTTTTCCGTGGCCTAAAGGAAGCCATATTTCCGTTGGTAAAAGCATTCCCAAGGAGCATTGCGGGAAGTCCAAGTGTTTAAAGGCCTGTAAATGCCTGCAGGTATTAATAATTCAGTGCAATGGATGATTCACAAGAAAGGCCACTTTCAATTAACCTTAAGAATCAGCTCCATCGGAGGAAGTGTCATCTCTCATCATTTAGGAACAGAGGCCAGAGCAGGATAAAGGCCATGTTGAGTAACATGTCAAAGACTGCATTTCTCGCATTTATGTCAGTCCCACCTAGATTACCCAGGGTCCTCTCTGTGAGGTGGGGAAGGGTTTTCCCACCACCAGCATCATCTCTTTTCTTTGGTTTCATCAGAGTGGTCTTGGCATTAATTTTCTATAGTCCCTTCTTTTCAGGAGTTTGGAGGGAGTATCTGTCCTTGTCAGAAGCTCCTTTCTTGTCCCCCACTCTACTATACTGGCTCCAATGTGTCCCATCCTGTGGACAATCACTCAAAGTCCCAGGATGGAGCCCAGAGCCCAGGGCTCATTCCTGCTTCCTGGGAGTGCTCTCTGCTCCCTGCCCAGCTCTCCCTCTTTCCTGCCCCTGCCTGGCAGTCTTCCCCTCTACTGGCAATAGCATCCTGCCTTTTCTTCCTTGGGAATTACTTTATCCTCCCCTTGTTCACATAGCTGAAGCCAGCCCACATCACCAGTTCATCTCTGTTCTGGGGCTTCACACATAGTTCAGGGATGGGCCATAATCAGGATCAAGCCTGGAATTTTTTTTTGGATCTACCTTCAGAGAGATACTCCTTTTTTTGTAAGAGTTTTTGAGCTGAAGGAACCAAGTCTGGGGCAGTTGGGAGTGTCCATGTGCAGGAGTGCATGTGAGACAAAGCCAGCACAGGGGCCCAGAGCAGAGCAGGAGGCCTGGTGAGGCTGTCTGACCCTTAGTCCTGCTGTGCTGGCAGCCATCTATCTCTGGATGATTTGATAAATAACCTTTTTTTCCCCCCTATGCCAGTATGTGTTTATTTCTGCCACTTGCAACTAAGTCTTAGTCAATGCAGGAGAGGAAGGGGGCAAGCTCTGTGAGATGCTTATTCCCATTTTATGCAGGTGAAAGACAAGAGACACTGAGGTGATGAGTTGCACTTGGTTAGGAAGTGGCTGGCCAGGTTTGACATCAGCTGTTCTAGCCTCTGGTCTCTTGACCAACCAGGCTGCCCCTAAGACAAAGCAGAAGTCAGGGACTGAAGCAAGGCCTGTCCTTTCTGAATTGTTACCACTGGCCATGCAGATGTCCCAAGGATTGTTGGCCACTAAGGGTTGGGGTCTTATCAACCAGGACCACTGTGGCAAATAGCAGTAAATTTACTACTCAGTCTCCATCACCCACCTCTGCCCCTCCTCCAGCCTCTCTGTTCCCCAAAGCAAAATCCAGATTTTGTTGGGGGCAGCAATGTGCTCAGGCCCCAGGGATGAATCTGAAGGCTCTGAGCCATGCATAGCACTCTCATCCCCCTTTCCTAGATTCTGACTTGACCAGGCTTCTTTGCAGTTAGGGGTGGCCGTATGATAGTGTTTTAGTCAATGAGACACATGAGGAGGGCATCTTCCAGGGGGCTGCTGGGAAAGATTTTTTTTGATGTATCAAGATGTTGAATTAATGTTTTGGCTGAAACACTAAGAAGTTAACTATCTAATTCCAAAAAGTGTTGATAGACCATGATGCAGATTTTTAAAGGTGGCTGAGATCCAGTTAGACAACTGGCCCATAGTGAGAGAGAAAAGGCTAAGAAAATGGAGGAGAGAGAGGACTTGTGATATTCCTTTGATGAGGTCTGGGGCTGTGATAGGGGATCCCACATCAAGGGGCAGGTGTAGTGACTACACTCTCCCCTCAAGCCCAGAGAGTGTTGGCTTCCTTCAACAGGACCAGTCTGA